GAAATATAAATGTCAAAAACGTATGGTATTTGCGAAATAACAGTGAACACGACGTTCACGGCATTTTTACTATGCAATTCTCACCAGCATTAAAACTCGAGTAGCATGTTTCTAGTTATCCCAGTAATCCCTTAGGCAACAGTAGTTTAAGTAGTGCACCTCATATACCCTCAGTCCTAGCAATTTGTCCTACGGAAACGGTGGTTATAGGGGTGGGGAATTAAGATAGGCAGGGGAATACACGTTAATAACTGCTATATGCATTTCTATTTTATCATACTTAGAAATGTTGTTGATGTTTATCTGTAGATTTTCCTAATCTCTATTATCGTTTAACGTATTGCGGAAAAACCCGAATATCAAAATGCGGGTTTCTTGAAATTCCTGCAAAAATAATAATGGTGGGTAGGAGGTCGTCTACTTCAACTTACCTAAGGTCCAACTTGCCGCTCTGGAGTTAGTTAAGTATAGTCCGTGGCGCGAAGCGTCGCGCACACCTTCAATTTACATGCGAAAAAAACTTACTCTCAGCGCCGCAGGAAACAAATTAAACTATATTCTTCCACGTTACACTTTCGTCTACAAATTTCCTTCACTGTCTACCCTATTTCCCCACCCCAAATTCCCTACAACCACCGTTTCCGCAGTACAAATGCTGGGACTAGGAGTATATGAGGTGCACTGCTTAAACTACCTTTGCCATCCCCTAGATAGTGTGTGGTCGTAGTATCTGGGAACCTTTTTTCGTTTTTTATCAACCTTCACAGTTTACTATCACCTGCAAACGGCTTTATATCCAACTTCAGTTCTCGTACTAGGTCATTTACATAGATAATGAATAGGAATGACCCAAGAACTGACGCTTGTGGAGCTCCGCATTTAACGAACGCCCATTGTGAACAGTAGTCCCTAGCAGTAACTTTTTGTCTACGATCGTTTACGAAATCATGAATCCAGTTAAGGACATTTCCCGTCATCCCAAAGGCTGAGAACTTTCAAAGAAGGCTCTTACGTGGAACTCAATCAAACGCCCCGTTGAGATCAAAGAACAGAACATCTAATTGATGTCCTCCATCCATGGCCGCTGACCAATGTTTGAGCGGTGTAAAAAGGTTTGTAGGACAAGGCCTATTTTCACAGAAATCACACTGGACTGACCTGATTAAACAGCAGAATGTAACGAGCTCACTAGTTCACTAATAAGTTGGAGTTTAAACCAATGCATTT